TCTCATAGGATGCAGGATATAGGACACAGGAAACAATACTGTCTTTTGCCTCATTTTCCATATGCCATCTTTTGTCTGCTCTTTTGTCTGCAGTTGTTTTCACAGAACAGTGTCCCCAGTGTGTCTTAAACAAGTATTTTTCTGACTTTTATTGTGCATTCATAGGCAGGATTATTTTTTCCCGTGTTACATTATTTTGGCCTTCTCAGCATCGTTTGTCTTTACTCGCTGATTTTCCAGCCTCTCCAGTGAAATTGTTGAATAGTGCACGTCTGAGACACATCTGTGGGGCTTGGCTGTTGCCCAAGAGGAGCACAATGCCTCCCCACAAGGTTCCTGTGAATCCCCAAATCACAAAGAGATCACCTCTTACTGGTATTTAAAAACAAGGAAGTCGTTGGGCTCAATTTAGTTCTATGTAAATATACCAAGAAGTATATTATCATGGTAATCTCATAAGGAACTAACGGTAGCTCCTGCTAAAATTTTAGCTAAAGCACAAGTACATAAATGAAAGAGACTGATTAACCAATTATGATGACTCCTTCAATCATCTTTTCCATTAGTGCGGGATTCATTAAAGTGCAGAAAACTTGCACAAAGGCCCTTCAGATCTATCTGTTTGATATGCAAGATCTAAACTTGGGATATGCACGATCGAGCTCTGACCTGACACACAGAGAGTTATTCCTCAAGGTCTCAAACCAGAAAAATAGCTCTGAAATGCTCACTTCAGCTGTTGAAGACGGCTCAGTGGCCATCTAAATAACCACACGTTGCCTATGGTGTCCATACATTCATTCAGCACGAAGCCTTCACGACAGATTCTTTTTGTGCTCTTGCTGTATATTGGCAGGTAGGTTCTGACATGCTAATTAGTTCAACCTCAATTAGACATTTAGTCTTCTGACATCTGGAACAGTGGCTGCCAGCTATTTCTCTTCTCATTTTTTCCCAAAAGAAGTAAAATGCTAGGTTACATGTTAAAAAGCTCGTCTGCACGCCTACGAATGAGCACAGAGATGCTGGCAGGGGGGAGGGGAAGCCAATAATACCCTCCATCAACCTCCAAGAGATGGTTGAGAGAGTTGGGGGGGTCAGCCTGGAGAAGAGAAGGCTCCAAGGAGATCTTCTAATGGTCTTCCTGTCCCTAAAGGGGCTCCAGGAGAGATGGGGAGGGACTCTGGACCGGGCAATGTAGTGATAGAATGAGGGGTGATGGTTTTAAACTGAAAGAGGGGAGATTTAGATTAGATACTAGAAAGAAATTCTTTGCTGTGAGGGTGGTGAGACACTGGAACAGGTTGCCCAGAGAAGCTGTGGCTGCCCCATCCCTGGAGGGGTTCAAGGCCAAGCTGGATGGGGCTTGGAGCAACCTGGTCTGGTGGGAGGTGTCCCTGCCCAGGGCAGGGGGCTGTAACTCGATGATCTTTGAGGTCCCTTCCAACTCAAGCTATTCTATGATTCTGTGATTCTAAGACAGAACATATGATTACTCAGTGAAAGACCTGCTGCCATGAACTTTGTCTGTTTTGTAGCTTTCAAAGCATTATTTGTACAAAGACAATAAAAAAAAGTCTTGTTCCTTTATAAGGGTGACTGCAAGGAGTCGGATCTCTGAGAAGAACAGCAAAGACTTTCTTTCTCCAGCTCTTGAAAATGACTCAGTAAGAGATTTTGATCTCTGTACTGTAAATTTGATATCCTGTGGATCTCCTCACCTCACCTATTGAGTTGCCTGTTATATTACATCTTTCTAGCTTAGTACGTGATTGATTAAAAAGCTTCATTTTTCGGCTGGCTTTTCTTTCTGTATGATCATTCTGGCCTAAAATGTTTCACACTCATTATTATTATTATCAGCCAGACTCGCTGCTGTAGGAGAACAACAGTGGATGTGTTTTGTTTTAGGTACTTATTGCTGGAATATGTAAAAAACCCTCTCTTTTATCAAAGTAACATAAACCACAGACCTTTCTGTCCTGAGAGACAGCTTATTAAGTGTATATCTCAAATACAGACTGTTCCCCTAAGGACAAGTGTCTACTTTATGGAATAAACACACACCTGTAATTTTCCTACATCTCTCTGGGTATGGTTCTTCTCTTGGAAACACTTTGCCCACCCATCTGCTTGGGGTCCCTACACCTGGGACTAGTAACCCCTGGAGTTTTTTTCCTTACACCCAGGTCAAGGCTTGGACTTCCAAGGCTTGGACTTGGTCAAAGAGGACTTCCTTGTCCTCTTTCCTTGCCACTGGTTCTCTTTGTTGGAAAAACCTTTTCTTCAGTCTCTGATGCGCTTTCAAGGGGAAGGGGATTTCACCATTCGAATATAGAACTACCCCCAGCCACGCTCCTCAGCCCTATTTGCTGTTGCAAATCACAATGTTTGCTCTTCAGTGTTACTACTGCTTATTTTTTCCACCTTATTGCCTGAAAGAGTAGCTTTAGAACAATCTGAAATTTTAGGTAAATGCGCTTACCTCTGAAAATATCCAGTCCTTTCTGACCAGGAGAGCAGCAGCTGTGAGCCAGAAGGTCGTAGGACTGCTCTACTAATGGAAGGCAGGTTGGCTTTTTGGAGGCAGGGGCAGAGAGGAAAGCAGCAATTGGCTGCTCCAAATGGCCCTGCTGGAGGCTGAAGGCCAGGCCAGCTTCCTCAGGTGCTGTGAATATGGTATAAATTGCCCAGAGAATTAGTTGACCTCTCTTTGCCCCATGGAGCCTTGGCACGTTTAGTCAAAGCATTTTCTTTTTCTCATACACGCAGAGAGGTAGAACTTTGGAAGCTGCTGCATGGCTCTACGAAGGTTCATTGCAAGGGATTTCCCCTCTCAATTTCTATATTCTGCATCTGTGTTTTATTAATTAGAAGAGTGAGAAATGCCTCTTAAGAAAACTTTAGGAATACTAGGAAAACAGTGCAGCTCTGGGCCTGCAAAGAGCTGCTCCCACAACTTCAACACTCGTATGTCTCACAGGGCCTGCGGGCAGCAACACCATCACACACATATCCCTTACCATGAAACATGGGAAGCAGGAGGTTTGCAAATGTGTGACCGACATGAAACCTCTGCACCCATCAGAGATTTGTCTCAACATCCTCATTTGACAATGTTTGAACCCAACGCAACAAATAAAGAGAGAAGAGGAAGGCAAGGCTTCAACAACGTGGGCTTAATTACCTTTGAAGTTTAACTGCAGGGTCATGAAGAGGTTCCTGGGCCAAATTAACACCAAGAGGCAAGGTCTTCTCAGCCCCCTTCCACAGGAGTAGGTGCACAGGGTGGACAGAAAGGACAACCTCTCCTACCAACCATTTCAGATGTTCCATCCTTCCAGAGGCCTGGTGAGGGAATGGAGAAGCAGGAGAGCAACGTCCTCAGGCCTCTCCAGAGCAAGTCAAACCTTTACCACCACATCCCTGAGCCCTAACATCATTTAAAACCCAGGTTCAGCCGGGACACACTCCACCAGTCACAAAGAAGCAAACAGCTCACACGGATCACCTTTCCTGCCCTAAAACGCACGACGAGAAGCTTGGAACATGTTTTACATATTTATATTTCCCAGCACTGAGTGATGTTTGCCCTACATTTCCTCTCTTTCACCGCGAAGAGATGCGTGTCCTCACTCTCCCTACCTCCCCCCGGGAAGGCTTTGCCGAACTAGATGAGGCTGCAAGGCCTTTCACCAGCAGGTTCCTCAGCAGGGCTCCTGTTTGCTGCTTCTCCTCTGGCCCCCACAGCTTCCACATGGGCCCAACCGCAGGCCTGGTCATCCAAAACCTTCCTTTGTGCAGAAAGTTCAGGGCCTCGGCAGAAACTTGGAAGGATAATTTCTCGATGAATTGGCTTTTCCGCTTCTCGGGCAAAATCCTCCCCTCACAACAGGGAGCCTTGAGCATCTGCTGCCAGATGCTGCTGATGAAGGGAAACTCCAGCAGCGAGGACGAGGAAAAGTCCAACTCCTGAACCTCGTTGCTCTCCAAGTCACGCAACTTCGTAAAACCTGAAAGAAGACTCAGCTCGTTGCGGGGAATGCTGAAAATACTCATTTTACACTCTCATTTTCCACATTGAGACATAGAAGCAGCCTAGTGATTTCACTGAGAATTTGGAGTAAACAAAACACATTCTACAGAACCGAAAAAATGACAAAGGAGAAGAGGTTAAGAATCATTTGACGCCACCTTCCTTGCTTTTTTCACCCCGTGTATGCAAAAAAGATAAAAATTTAAAAGGAACATAAGCACTTCAATCAAACAAGAGAGCGTTTTAGAAAATTCCTCTGAAGACATTTGTCCATAATAATTTCAGAGGGTAGTTTCTAGAAGAATAATACAGCAGGCCCCTTTTTTAGAAGTGTGCAATTTCGCAGAAAGTATTCTGGATTTCTCCAAATTACTGAAAACATGTATTTTCCACTGCTTTCATTTCTATCTCGCAGACTTCTTTCGTGCCCATGACCACGTCTTCCTCTTTACAGTTAATGGGAGTTTCAGAGGCACAGAGGGTCAGGCTCTTTCTTTACTATTCAATAAGGTAAATAAAACCTTACTACTTGAATGACTCTCTGAAGAATAACAGGTAGATAAATCATGCAAGATTTTTTCCAGTCTTTATAACATCCCCCAGCTAGAATACACACACACATACAGTTTTTAAAATTGTGTTGATCACAGTATCCACCGAGTGCTAAAATAAGTTTTGTTTGCTTTTAACAGAGTAATAAAAATATTTGTAAAAAAAAAACCACCTAAAATTTTAACCTAGGATAATATGAAAATAGTAAGAATTATACCTAACAGTAGTGATTGGAATGAAAGCAAAGCTGCCTATTAAAAATCTGACCACTGATCGAAGCTTGCAATTTTAGCCTTCATCAATTGCTTTCTCGAGTGACTCATCAAATCAGCATTGCCTAAAAAGTCAATATTGAGAAACCAGGTAAACCAATAAAGACTCCTTTCAGTCACACAATTGCTACCAAACACTCTTGAGAACACAGTAAAGCGTTTTATTGTTTATGCTCATTTTCATTTACACATAGGAGGAACAATCAATGCAGTTCTATCACAGCAGGTGGACCATATCCTGAAACTCGATAACTTTGACTGCTGAATACGTGTAGACCCATCTTAAGGTCTCATCAGAAAAAAATAAAATAAATTTAAAAAAATAGGGGGGGAAGTAGGGAGGAGAGTAATTTCACTAACATCAGTTAATTATGATTCATGGGTATTTATTTTGCAGGTGATACATCTCTTCTGAAAGAGCAAACTGCTTCACTTCTTTACAAAATACACTAAATAATGTAATTACTTGGAGGATTCTAAATTTCGCAGTGGTACATGCGGTAAGGGTGTGCAACCGACACAACATGGAAAAAACATGGTTACAACATCAAACTGCTACTTCTATTCCCAGCTGGTTTATGGAAAAAGGTCATTGCACTTCTTGTTTCCTGCTCTGGAGTCACGGAGTAGAAGCAAGAAGTATTTCCTTCGTAAAGGCAACGATGAGGACAGACTATAGATATGCAGTGCAGTTGAACAGGTCTACAACTCCCATTTCTACAGCGTTTGCTACTGTTTTGAAATACTGACACAACTTTTGCACACTGTCACTTCTCACACGTGTTCAGCCGAAGGAGTCATTTGCAGAATTTACTGCCATGCTCCTGCTTTAAAATGATGCTTTTTTTTTTTTTTTAAATTACTTTTTTTTTTTCTCCTCTTGGCCTCAAAAGTGAAGGGAGCAACTCTTTCCACTGAAAGAAAGAAATTACAGGCGTGCAGAAGTACAACTACGCTACCAACACAGACAGAGAGACAACTGTGCTCTTGTGCACACCCCTACAACCGGCCGGAGAACAAATTAAGAAGTTAAGCCTGCAAAATAAATGGAGTTTACTCTCAAACTTTTTTTTTTTCTTCAGTCCAGAAGAATTATAGACCTTGATTCGAGGTTGCCCTCTTTCTTTTTCTTTTTTTTTCTTTTTTATTTATTTTTTTTTGCAACTGATCTGCGTGACTATTGGAACAGCATCTCTGCCAGAGTCATTACACTGAAATGCAGAGCTGAGCAGTTTGGTGGCAGTATGTATTGACGGTTGGGTTTTTTTTTTTTTGCAGCATCATGAGTCTGGCAACTGGGCTTGGGGAAGTTTCAAGCAGTGGGTCTTTACAATAGCAACTTGATTCTGCAGACAAAAAAAAAAAAAGCAAAAGATTGGCAGAATTATTAAAGTATCACAATAAAGGCAAGGATGTATTCTGCAGAACGTGGCGCTGAGTTTAGAGCTAGGCGCTGGCAGCCACTTTTTTTTTTTTTAAATCAGAGGCACAGAAAGGCACAGCTTTTTTACCCGTGTGTGAAGGGAAATCTAAAGGTGTGGAGCCTTTTGGTGGTGGCTGAAAGGCAGTTTTCCTCCCAGGATGCCTGCTCCGCTCCCAGCGGGAGAAGCTGGAGCTGTAAGGAGGCCAAAAAGTAGGCTGAACTTTACAGGCAGCCTTCATCTGGGGCCTGTCCTACCTTTTTTTGCCCCCTTGTCCAAAAAAAAAATAAATAAATAAACCAAACCCACAAACCCGACACAAAGAGAACCCACCAAAACCCCACCCCGACGTTGGCACCGGGGGCTGCATCCCTTCCAAGGGGGTGGCATCCTTGGCTGCCTGGAGATGCTTCCAGCTGCCCGAGGGGGACCAGGGGATGCGGGATTTTGGGGGGGATGCAGGATTTGGGGCTGCCCCGGCACCGGTCCCGGTCCCGTCCCACCGCTTCCCGGAGAGCTCGGCGGCCGGGTTGGGAACGCCAAATGCCGTTTAGCACTAATTGGTGGGGCTGCCCTGGCCCCGGTCCCGGTCCCGTCCCGCCGCTCCCCGGAGAGCTCGGCGGCCGGATTGGGAAAGCCAAATGCCGTTTAGCACTAATTAGTCTAAAAACGGGCATTAACATCCCAAAACGGCGGCAGATGGGTTTAAATAGGTGGAATTAAGCGCAGATTGCTGTGAGTCACTCCCTGCGAGCTGGGGGGGGGGGGGGGGGAACGGGA